CGCATCATTTTTAATTTTTAAGGCGTGACAGTTTTGGATTCACAAGATCTATATGTGTAACATCGAGTTGTCCCCCCATTTATTTACTTACCCCTAGGTAATAGGGAGATAATATTATAACCCGTCTCATGCACTAAGCCATGAAGTATCAAACGATCACCTATATTTATTAAATGATGTAAGCATTTTGATTTATATTTCACTATTGTTTTCAAGACCACAAAAGAAGCTTTTATAAATAACTCATCCGCAATATTTATACCGAATGCAATATAGAACTTATGTAATTGTTCCCTTGGGGGTTTTTTTACGATCTCATCATATCCACATGAACAAAGCTTTACCAGCTTGTTATGATCATTGTGTATTTTTTTATCATCGCATTCCCATTTCCCACTCTCAACATACATGATTTCATTCTGCTTCTGCCTAAAAAACACTCGTATCATTAGATCCGGCTTGTCACCCCTCTTACCTATATTTTCCTGGACTTTATGATTTTTACTGGCAATACTCTGCCGTTCGCTTCTAGTCACTTCTACATCATATTCAATCAGCAATTTGTACAAGGATGCTTCGATTAATTGAGCCATAATTTCCACAAAAGTGCTCTCTGATCCATATGTAACTCTGTGGAGCACATTCGATTTTAACTTTTGCAAGAGGACATCTGTAATATCACTTGCTACTTGCTTCCTATCATCTTCTTGCTCAACCCAATGATCATGGGATAACACTTCAGATGGCATCACTACGAACTTATATGGATGACGGATTTTATCTCTATTTGCGATGAATTCAGAGCACACTCTCTTTATCAAATCATCCTTACTCAACCTTTTTATAGCGACTTTTTCTCCAACAAGAACACCTTGATCCTCCTCTGACAATTGAAACCGATTAGATCCCAGATCAATTATGGTATTAACTAATGGATCATCCTGAGACAAATTATCAATATCCACCTCGCCTATTTTCCTAAAAAGATCTGCATGTACTAGAGATACATTTTTCTGTTTTTGTATAGCATCTTTTAAACTGTTTATATTACGTACAGCTCAAGACTTCCAGTCAGATTGATCAGGCTTTGATCTACAAAAATCTTTACATTAGTTTATAAATTTACTCTTCGACCATTCTAGTTGGAATTGACATACTCCAAAAGATCAGCATCCAACATCAATGCTTTAAGCTCCTTCCACATGAATCGAATCTATAGGGTTAGAATGCAGTTAGCTACTTGTAATATAACTAAAACAATAAAAAATATTATATGAGCCCGGGCAGATCAGATTTTATTGCCAGCTGGTATCTTCAGAAGTTAAAATTTTTTAAAGGAAAATCCAGATTTTTAAAGTACTATTTCCAGCCCTGATCACGATTTAATTACATTCAATTTTTTACAAAGAATATTTTTTTTTACAGTGTTGTTAGTTTTTGTAACCCATCAATGCTCACAACCTCCAATCTTTTATACTCTTCCAAAGCTGCCCTGGAAATTTTTAATTGGGAATAATCAAAATCAAGGATTTGCAGTTTTTCCAATGAGGGATCTCAACACATTGCAACATACACTTGTCCTTCAGCAAACATACTTTTGTCAACATTCAATGTTACATGTGGCAAGGTCAATCCTTGAGTTTTATGAACAGTCAGAGCAAATGCATTCTGAAGAGGAAATTGATTCCTTGATGCTCTCTTGCCATAAACTTCAAAGTAAGGTGTTTCTCTTGCTATTCCAATAGTTCCATTGGATATTTTTTCATCAAATAGCTTATTATTAAGAAAAATCACATGTTTACCTTCTTGTAAATACAATTTATGAGGCAAGTTAAGTTTTTTGAATTGAGCAATCGAGTGATCATCATTTGATATTTCAAATTCCAGCATGTCTATGCATTCAGAAACCATTAGATCATTGCATGTTTCGTCAAAAGGAAGAATATTGTGTTGAGGGATTGAGCTTGCTTTTTGAGTGCCGACCACATGTGTGGTATCATAGAAACTACAAAGGTCAGTTTCTTGGTTAATTTTTGTTTGGATTATTTGCTTGCTCCTAACTGACAAAGTTCCTGTTCTTAACTCTTGAAGGATCCTGTAAAATTCAACATCATTTTTACAATTTACGATTCATACTCTACCACAATTTTTTATATTGACAAGGATTCCTTTGCCACTTCAAAAAGAGCATGGTTGTTATCAAATTTTCGAATTGTTGAATTTTTCTTCTTCACAATAAGCAACAGGAGAACCTTTTTCGAAAAAAGCTTTGTTCAATTCCTTCAGCAATAACTTTTTTTCCACATTTTCAAAAAAAACCACAGTTTGATGTTTTAATTAAATTAAAATTGAATTAATTCTGAATTGTTACATTTTTTTCTTCACACCTTCAAAAAAGGCATGGTCGTTTTTAATATCAGAAATAAATATTTTAATAAAACAATTTCCCAAATTGTTACATTTTCTTCATTTCCAAAAAGGCAAGAATTTTTTCAAAAAAAACTTGATTGATTTCCTTTAAAATTAATTAAACGGTTTTTTTCTAAATTTAGTGGCGATGCTAATACCAAATCAATAATGTATTAATTTTTTTTGCTGGTATTTTTAGTAGTAGGAGAGGATTTTTTTCAAAAAAAGCTTAATTAATTTTCTTTAACAACACATTTTTGGAAAAGACTCAATTTTAATCAAGTTATTTCTTTTTTTACTTATAAATACAACCTCTGAACGTATAAAAAAAAATGGGAGAGTGATCAACGCAATCAATTTTGCGAAACGAAAATTTCCAAAGAGAGATAGCATCGTTGCCAATTCTTTCTAAATATTACCAATCTTTTCTAATCTGTTACAAAGTATGTTCCACTGATTTGGTTGAGTTGTATTCTTTCGTTAATAAAAATAAATCGATGACAAAGGATACAAAAGTTCGTATATTTTACCTTAGAAAATCCTGAAATTCAAAAGTTATATTGATTACTCTGAAAATACCTTAATCTTCGACATAATAGCAATGATATTAATATTAATAAAGAAAGCCAAGCTTTATCAACGATTCTTGTTTTATTTTTATTATATTTTTTTTTATTGGAACTACAGCTCGAGTCATCTAAACCCGACCACTATAGCAAAATTTCAAATTCTAGAATATCATTTCTGATTCAGGAAATGAAATTTCTTAAATAGGGAATGATCCTGTCCTAAACTTATCATCAAAGAAAAAATTTGGAGTTTTGGGTGAAAACCATCCCTTAATAGTTAACGATCTATGGAAGAAGTGGCTAAAATTTAGGGTAAACATTATTTAAAATAAGGATACCGGTTGCAACTTTTGATGATGGTTTCTACCATCTTTGCGTCATACAAAAATGATTGCAACCACCTTTACAACCATTTTGTTTCCTTTTTTGGGTTGCGACATGGAACACTAATTTAAATATAAAAAGTTACTAATATTCAAACCGCAATAACTTTTTAGGTAATAAATATTTTACATCAAGCTTTTCGTAGAATTATTCTTTGGCATTTACTATATAAACTATGAAGAGTTTGAGTCCAAAATTTCTCAGTGTGTCCATGTAATAGGTTTCAAAAATGCTGAATAAAATTGGTCGGTTTTAGATGACTTTAGCTATACTCCATTCATTGTTTAATTAGCCAATTAGCCATATTAATCAATGTTTTATACATTGTGACCTATTGATCATTTAATATATCAGAAATTAAAACTTACGTCGGCTAAAAAAAAATTTCATTTTTACGTCTGTAATTTTAGTGCAGAATTCAGTGACATAGACATTTAGTTGAGATAGATCCACCTGCATTACTTTGAATTACAAAAAAACATAAATTTGCTCAAAAAACAAAATACAATACATCATAGCGGATAAAAGTCTATTCGTGATACAAATACTTATTTTAATTCGAATAAACCTTCAATTTAATTCTAATAATCAAATTAATACTCAAATTAATAACGAATAAAACAAATAATTAGAATGAACCTTATGCGAACCATCAAAGGCGAGATATTATAATAACAATAGTAGTGATAATAATACTGGCAAGCTTAGTACCCATCTGAAAAGTTTTTCATCAACTAGGATTTATTTAAGTTCTTAACCGGCTAAGGTTTTCTACCGGCTAATATCACTAATTGACCTCATTAATGATTGTTACATTCGTAATAAATAAACCATAATTACTGACAAAAAATTTAATTTGTATATGAATTTGACCCAGATGCGGCATAGCCGTTGACAATCATTGGGAGAGTGGAGCTCATAACAAAATCATGAAAATAATAATAATAAAATAATATTTTTTGGTATATAATTTAAAAAACATTTGTACATAATTGATAGTTTATTCCCGCATAAAATTATCGTACTGGCTTAAAGTTGTTCCAGGTACGGAACAACTTTGAATACATATTATTACATAAACTATATTAATTTTTAAATAAAATTATTTAACATAAATACTACTTTTTGTGATTAAAAGCCGTTAGCATATTGGTTGACACAACCAAATTGATTTTCACCAAAATAAAAATGTCTAACATTATCGAAATGTTCATCATCTGGAGATTTATCTTTTATAGCCTGAATAACATTTGGATGTAAAACAAATGTTGCTATTGTAGTTGATTCATTCGTTCTAATCTTATCATTCTTAATATCCATCATATTAATTAGCGATGATGACAACGATGATGACGATGGCGACGGCGGCGGCGATGGTGGTGGTGATGGTGATGGCATTTTCCGATTTTCTTTGCCAAAATTCTAAAATAAATTTTTGTTATATTTGTTACTTCCAAATCTTTATTCACCAGCTCACGTGAAATTTCTACTATAAGGAACGTTTTATCCAGAAAGGTTTCCCTCAAATTAAATCAGAAATTAAATCGATAAAATAATTGAAAATTTAAACAAAATTTCATAGAAGTTGAAAAGAAAGAAAGTTTATAATTTATGGAGGTTATATAATATATTGATTTAACAATTTTTATTATTTAATTTACTTTGAGAAAGAATATTAATTATATTTATTAGAAAAAAAAGAATCTGTTTTTTTTTTCAGGAAGCTTGGATATCTTGTATTTATAACTAACAGCAGGCAATGAAATTAAAATCAATCAAATAAAATAAATGCATATTTATTTGTTTTATTTTTATCAAATATTAATATGAATAATTATGTAATTTGTGATTATTTTTTCGATTTCACTGATATTTAATATTTAATAATGGCTTCGTCATATTTCTACACGATATCATTTAAATTTAGCCGCAATCTAGAAGCATTAGAACAGCTGATTTTGTTTATTCGAGTGTAATGTAATGTTACACAATTAATTTAAAAAATAAGTTTAAAATATATATATATATACAAAAAATACACTTCTTGTGACACAATCGTTTGACTATATATATAAATGTAAAATTTAATTCTAATAATGGCCTTCTTGTATCACAAACATAAAATTTTTAAACAATGAAAAAAATCATTCAATAATAATTACTTACTGAATTTGTTAAAATTTCCATCTATCTAGAAAAATCACAACTCCGAGAATATGACAATCGTCTTATTTGAATTCCTTTTTTGAAATCTAATATCTCACAATTTGAACTTCATGTTTTCGGAAAGCAATTGGTAAAAAATCACTGTTTTTCAAACCTAATTTTTTGGTAGTTTTCGTTTAGTAGTGGGTAATCAATACCGATGATTTATTTGATGATTCAAGTATAGAAAATATCTTGCAAATGAACAAAAGTCTTTTCCCAAAACCATTTAGTTTGATCTTTAGTATTTAGTCAATATAATAAAGATCACCACAAAAACAGTATAGAATTTTAGTTTTAAGAAAATCATTTTCATTATTGTACTGAAAAACATTTTACAAGTTGTCATTTGTCCTGGTTTTTTTTTTTATTGCGGCAAATCCTTGTTCGTGTAAAAAGAAAATTTAAAATTCACTCCCTATTTATTGTTTATATGCATTTAATATTTTATAATAATGTTTTTATAATTATAAATAAATGTTATAATAGTCACGATTTCAGTCAGCCTCGGGCGAAATACCCTTGTAATGGCACTACTACTTGCAAAATTGCATTCCCCATTATTTATTATTTATGCAATAAATTGTTTAATTACAAACTTCTTTATTTGTACTGCTCAGCTATTAAATAAACTTTCCCCATTAACAAAAATAATTTAAATGACGCATCAAATATAAGCCACATTTAATATATTGACTTTTAGGTAAATGGGAATTTTTTTTTTTAATTACGCTCAAGTACTTTTGGTTGTGCTAGACATGTGAATATGTAGTTGGTACATTTTGTACGTGGATCATTGATTATTAAAATCCGTAAATTCAAATAATAAATGTCCTTTAATTTATTTTTGATCCAAATTAAACAAATAATAAATAATTTAATGATAAAGAGTAGAGCGAATAAACAACTCACATTTTTAAACTTTTCAGCGGTTAAAGTACCAATAACAACATTGTCATTATTTCTAGTAAAGATATTATCTGTGATTTTATTTGCAGCGGTTTAATTTCATATTAGCTCCGAAACCCATGCATTAATTTATTTTTGCATTTCTGACTTACACGTCAATTGATTTTGATCGACAAGTTTACACGTTCTGCATTTAAAAATTACGAATACTTTTTCATGATTTGGTTATTTATTATATTAAACTACAAGATAAGATCTATTTATATTAATATATTATTAGGATGCTTACGAATAAGGTTATTTATATCCTTAAGTGGTATTATGTATATATAAGAATTAAAGGATTAGCACGTTAATAAGCGAAGAAATATGACCAATTATTATTATTATTATGCACTACGTTCCACCACAATTTTTTTTGCAAAACTTAAAATAAAGAAAAATTTTTTAATTGTAAATTTCAGATTCATACGATTGATTTTGACTCACAATATCTCTCTATCTATTCTTTGGTTAGTGGCATAAAAGGCAGACGCTACTCATACAACAAAGCTATTTTTTTTTAATATACACGTATATTTGAGAAAGAACTACAAAAACTGTAATAAAGAAATTTATTTTTTTATCCAAGAATGGAAGGATATGATTTTAAACATACCTGAGTGGGGCACTCAAATGAGTAACTTAGTAGGGCTAGATCAAGATGTGACATTATTATGCTAATTCTGATTATAGTTCCTTTTTTTTTCTTGATAAATTAAACTAATTAGTTTTCTATTGTTATATAGTGGCAAATTACATGGGAAAAAATTGTTATCTATGAAAATTAATCAAAGAGATATAAATAGGTAACAGAATTTTCAGTCTATCATATAAAAGCTGAATTTTTGGTTTTTTTTGGAATATTTTAAAAATGAAGATGATGACAATAGCAACCAGAGTATAATTGAACCAGAAGCTTTTGTCACAAGGTAGATCAAAAAATGGTGACTTGTTGGAAATTCCATGGTGCATGGAATTTTATAGGATGAGATATGATTGCCTTCCACCAGGTTTTTATTTATCACCATCAGTTGGAAGGTTGGTTACGAAAAATGGCAATGGTAGATTTTTAAACATTGGGCAAATGAATTTTTGATTGTTGGAAGGTAGTTCTATGAAAAAAGCACAGTAATAGGTTCGAAAAAGGTAGTGGTTGTATCTGTTGATTATCCATGTGTTTGAGAATGGTCAATCAATAAAATTCGACAATTGGATAATTGGTCATTCACCAAATATCCACTGAATATCTGTTGAATATCCATTGATTTAAATTTATTTAAAGAAACATAATAATAACAATAAATTTAATATGAAAAAATATTTTCAATACATTCATATTTTTTTTAAGAATTACGATCCTTTCAAATAACAATGGATTTAATTTTTTTGTTTGTTTGGCTGTCATTATGCTTCCAAATACATAAAATATTTTTTAGATAATAATGAAACAGTTGGTATTCATTTAATGGTTCTTCTACCATATAAATGGTTCTATTTCCCAATCACTTTCATCTAATAGAAAGAATGTTGGTGATAATGTAATAGCCGAGATGATGTGCATGCATTTTTAAATTTTAAATTAGCCAATCAGAACTTTAGTTATTATTATTATTATTATTCACAACATAATGCTTACATACAATGAGACATTTTTTCCTTTCAAGAATTCCTAAAGGAGATAGCATTACCATCATTTGCTAAAAATTATACAAAGCCACATGTTTTACGTACAATAATTAGGCTAGGGAATAAGCCTTATCATACAGTAACATCTTTCTTAAAAGAAAAAAACAGACATACACCGGGTGCAAGATCCTTCCAGGCATAATAATAATAAATTTTTTTTTTGGGGAATTCGGTTACACGTGTATAAATTTTTAGATTACTTATTAGTATTATTCGAATCATAATCATAATCATAATAATAATCATCATCATTATTATTATTACTATTTCATTTTGTTCGAATTATTCATTAATTCAAATTATTCGTTTTATTCGTTTTATTCGTTTTATTCGTTTTATTCGTTTATTCGTTATTCGTTTATATTTATTTGTTTTATTCGTTTATTCTTTTTATTTGTTTAATTAGTTTATTCTTTTACAAATTATTCACAACTTGATGCAACAAATTCTATATTGTTATTGTTAAGGGATTGTAAAATTATAAATGACTCATTTTCTTTAACAAGATAGTATGATTATATTTATAATTTACTGTATATTACTATTATGGTTACTGGTACTATGACTTAAGAAAAGAAAAGAAAAATGACAATTACTTCTGCTACCATTATTTATTATTATTATCACTGTATACACGGACTACGTAAAGAAGAATATTTTAATTGAATTGGATTAGCAATGTGAATATGTTATTTTATTCGAATAAACTTTCAATGTAATTCGAATGCTCAAATTCATAAAAATAATAATAAAACGAATAATTCGAATAGAAACCCTACTTATTATTATTAAAAAATTTTTTTTGGTCTTGAAGATTTCTCCCAAACCGGTCATTCTCGATATTTTTCCTGACGAATGAAAATATACAGTCAAAAATAAATTTACTATTAGTAAAGATCCTCATAGCCAATGGTTTATTATACAAAAAAAACAACCAATGACCCTCACTCTCGTCTCGTTATCTTCTCTCTCCTTTTCTCTCCCTTTTATTTCTAACACTTGCTCGTTCTCCCAGTTGGTCAACATCTGAGGTTATCAGTTGAAACTTTTGATAAATGGTTACAACCGTTATGGCAAGTAATTGGAGCTACCTTTTTAATTATGACAGATGTCCACTCACAAAGACACATTGAAGAAAACATAATAGATTCAATTTATCTTTCCGAGTTGATAAACATTTTAATAATTCAGTTTTTATTTGTTTGATTCTTTGTAAAATCTTGGATATGATATTATAGAACAGAATGAGATAGATATCTTTTAGGAATCCCCCCCTTTTGAATTGAAAAAAAAATAATATAATTGGGAAATTCTCATATTCCTCATAGCTGTTTACTCTTACTATACTAACTATCCACTAAAAATATTATAATTAGTCAAAACAAGGCTTAACTATAAACAAATTTATTTAGTAGCAAAGTTTATAATGCATCAGTTTGTTATTATCGACCATGGAAAAGTCTTTTTATTTTTGGATGAATTATGTATAGTCGCTTTATTGCACAATCATATTAATTTAAAAACTAAAACAAACATTTTTTGCGCAAAGCTTCCACTTCCACTTCCTTTTCATCAGGGACGATGATTTTATGCAGCAATAAACTGTCAATTATGCACAAAAACTTTTTTGAATTATGCACCATAAAACATTGACTGTTACGATTAGTATTATAGTATTGTTATTTTCATGTTTTCCGTTATGACAAACATTTTTAATTAATATTAATATAAAAAGGGCCAATATTTAAATCCGTTGTAATAATAAATCCGCTGTGACGAGATTTGACTGTATTATTCTTTTTTGTTTTTTATGAGCTTCACTTTTGCAATGATTGTCAACAATTTGATTTGCGGTTCCATTTAACAGATTATCACAAAAATAAAAACCAATAGTATCCCATATTTTTTATATATTTGATGTTGATTATCAATTATGCAAAAATTACAATATATGATGTTACACCACACATTAAACTTTTAGAATCTTAATGATGGACACAAATTTATGTAATATGTGTAACTGAGCCTACGCCAGATCAAGATGTGACATTATTATGCTAATTCTGATTATAGTTCCTTTTTTTTTCTTGATAAATTAAACTAATTAGTTTTCTATTGTTATATAGTGGCAAATTACATGGGAAAAAATTGTTATCTATGAAAATTAATCAAAGAGATATAAATAGGTAACAGAATTTTCAGTCTATCATATAAAAGCTGAATTTTTGGTTTTTTTTGGAATATTTTAAAAATGAAGATGATGACAATAGCAACCAGAGTATAATTGAACCAGAAGCTTTTGTCACAAGGTAGATCAAAAAATGGTGACTTGTTGGAAATTCCATGGTGCATGGAATTTTATAGGATGAGATATGATTGCCTTCCACCAGGTTTTTATTTATCACCATCAGTTGGAAGGTTGGTTACGAAAAATGGCAATGGTAGATTTTTAAACATTGGGCAAATGAATTTTTGATTGTTGGAAGGTAGTTCTATGAAAAAAGCACAGTAATAGGTTCGAAAAAGGTAGTGGTTGTATCTGTTGATTATCCATGTGTTTGAGAATGGTCAATCAATAAAATTCGACAATTGGATAATTGGTCATTCACCAAATATCCACTGAATATCTGTTGAATATCCATTGATTTAAATTTATTTAAAGAAACATAATAATAACAATAAATTTAATATGAAAAAATATTTTCAATACATTCATATTTTTTTTAAGAATTACGATCCTTTCAAATAACAATGGATTTAATTTTTTTGTTTGTTTGGCTGTCATTATGCTTCCAAATACATAAAATATTTTTTAGATAATAATGAAACAGTTGGTATTCATTTAATGGTTCTTCTACCATATAAATGGTTCTATTTCCCAATCACTTTCATCTAATAGAAAGAATGTTGGTGATAATGTAATAGCCGAGATGATGTGCATGCATTTTTAAATTTTAAATTAGCCAATCAGAACTTTAGTTATTATTATTATTATTATTCACAACATAATGCTTACATACAATGAGACATTTTTTCCTTTCAAGAATTCCTAAAGGAGATAGCATTACCATCATTTGCTAAAAATTATACAAAGCCACATGTTTTACGTACAATAATTAGGCTAGGGAATAAGCCTTATCATACAGTAACATCTTTCTTAAAAGAAAAAAACAGACATACACCGGGTGCAAGATCCTTCCAGGCATAATAATAATAAATTTTTTTTTTGGGGAATTCGGTTACACGTGTATAAATTTTTAGATTACTTATTAGTATTATTCGAATCATAATCATAATCATAATAATAATCATCATCATTATTATTATTACTATTTCATTTTGTTCGAATTATTCATTAATTCAAATTATTCGTTTTATTCGTTTTATTCGTTTTATTCGTTTTATTCGTTTATTCGTTATTCGTTTATATTTATTTGTTTTATTCGTTTATTCTTTTTATTTGTTTAATTAGTTTATTCTTTTACAAATTATTCACAACTTGATGCAACAAATTCTATATTGTTATTGTTAAGGGATTGTAAAATTATAAATGACTCATTTTCTTTAACAAGATAGTATGATTATATTTATAATTTACTGTATATTACTATTATGGTTACTGGTACTATGACTTAAGAAAAGAAAAGAAAAATGACAATTACTTCTGCTACCATTATTTATTATTATTATCACTGTATACACGGACTACGTAAAGAAGAATATTTTAATTGAATTGGATTAGCAATGTGAATATGTTATTTTATTCGAATAAACTTTCAATGTAATTCGAATGCTCAAATTCATAAAAATAATAATAAAACGAATAATTCGAATAGAAACCCTACTTATTATTATTAAAAAATTTTTTTTGGTCTTGAAGATTTCTCCCAAACCGGTCATTCTCGATATTTTTCCTGACGAATGAAAATATACAGTCAAAAATAAATTTACTATTAGTAAAGATCCTCATAGCCAATGGTTTATTATACAAAAAAAACAACCAATGACCCTCACTCTCGTCTCGTTATCTTCTCTCTCCTTTTCTCTCCCTTTTATTTCTAACACTTGCTCGTTCTCCCAGTTGGTCAACATCTGAGGTTATCAGTTGAAACTTTTGATAAATGGTTACAACCGTTATGGCAAGTAATTGGAGCTACCTTTTTAATTATGACAGATGTCCACTCACAAAGACACATTGAAGAAAACATAATAGATTCAATTTATCTTTCCGAGTTGATAAACATTTTAATAATTCAGTTTTTATTTGTTTGATTCTTTGTAAAATCTTGGATATGATATTATAGAACAGAATGAGATAGATATCTTTTAGGAATCCCCCCCTTTTGAATTGAAAAAAAAATAATATAATTGGGAAATTCTCATATTCCTCATAGCTGTTTACTCTTACTATACTAACTATCCACTAAAAATATTATAATTAGTCAAAACAAGGCTTAACTATAAACAAATTTATTTAGTAGCAAAGTTTATAATGCATCAGTTTGTTATTATCGACCATGGAAAAGTCTTTTTATTTTTGGATGAATTATGTATAGTCGCTTTATTGCACAATCATATTAATTTAAAAACTAAAACAAACATTTTTTGCGCAAAGCTTCCACTTCCACTTCCTTTTCATCAGGGACGATGATTTTATGCAGCAATAAACTGTCAATTATGCACAAAAACTTTTTTGAATTATGCACCATAAAACATTGACTGTTACGATTAGTATTATAGTATTGTTATTTTCATGTTTTCCGTTATGACAAACATTTTTAATTAATATTAATATAAAAAGGGCCAATATTTAAATCCGTTGTAATAATAAATCCGCTGTGACGAGATTTGACTGTATTAGGATTAATTATAAAAGCTTTTATGGTAGTAATAAAATTCATGAAGTATATGAAGAATATGGAGATGTTTGAAATTCAAAATAATGGAATAGAATTAAACATTCATTAACCAGGTATAGAAGATGTTGTAAACTTGGACGATACAGTTTTCAACGACTCAGCTCTAAGCGATGATAGAGTTATAATTAATAATAAAAACCACTAATGTTGCAAATTTTAGATTATGATATTTCAATGATAATACAATTTTAGTTTTTGCAATAACAATTAAAAAGATGTGTTTGAATATCATTATTGACTATTTAAAAAATCCATTCACTATTTTTGTAGTTTCGACACATTAATTGAGTTTTGACAAAAATCGAGTTTCAACAATGGCGTTTGTGTTTCGGAATTATTTCTTTTTTTTTGAATTTCGGCATTATCACATTTAGTTTAGTATTTGGAAAACTTCTTTTTATAACGATTTGATAAAATTTTGGAATTATTTATCTTTCAAAAAAAGAATAAATAAATTAATTTATGAAATCATTCAATCAATAATTTAATTATCTATGATAAATGATGACAAATGATCGGATAGATGTTTTGCCTATTTTGTAAAATCAAATTAATATTCATATAGTAAATTCGAAAATATTCCACATAAATTTATGAGGGAGGAGGCAAAAAAATCCTTTCTTTTTATTTTACTTTTTGAAGATTAACTTTCATCGCAATTTTTCAGTGTCAGACGTTTTAACGTAATTATATAATTATAACTATAATTATAATTATAACGAGAATAATAACATTAACAACAGTTAAAACGTCTGACACATCTTTAAAATATATTTATTTATATCATTTTGACTCTTTACATTCTTTTTACATTCGCCAATGATTTCAGAGAAATATTTAATTAAATCAATTAATAACTAATTATTAGTAATATAGTAATAATGAGTCAAACATTTGCAAGCTCGATTCTCCTGTTATTTAATTTCAGCAGTATAATATTAATGTTATTATTGATAGGTATAATACTAAAATCACCATCATACTTAACAAAATGGACATTATTTCAAGTATGCTTAGCATTATTAGGCAGCAGTATATCCTCAATATTAAAACTTTTAACTTATGGCGATGATTACGACAATCTGGATCGAGCACTTAACCAACCAATTTGTATTGCTCAGCAAAAACTATCGGTATTCTTTTTTTATCCGTTATATTTGCTACCAAGTGTTTTAACATTTCATTTATGGTTTGGGTTGATTAAAATGAATTCAAATATCGAGAAAGCTCATTTCTGGACACTTACAATGTCAATTTGGGGATTTGCTTGTATTTATACTACAATTGTGGTCATCGTCTCAGGATTGAATGAAAATTGGGGTGTGATGGTGACTAGATTTGTATGCGAAGCTTATGATTTTAGTTCAACATGGTATTTGTATTGGCCAGTTCTATTAATCGTAAGCTTGTTAGCGTTCGTTTCATTATTTTTCGCAAGTAAGTAGTGTCACAAGTTCCTTAATTGATTATATTTGTATTTTGTTTACACATGTTTGTTTTAATGAGTAGTAATTATATATTTATCAAAATTTTAGTACGTTTACCAATCATTTTATGGAAAATATGGAGTGGTTATAAACTGAATAATCAAAGTTTAGAAGAAATTCCAATTGGTCATGCAGTTAGAATGATCATCTTTATCTATTTGTACTTCTTGATGTTATTTTTCCATATGATCTCAGTAATCCTTCAACAATCAAAATCACATCACATGAAAAGTTACATAGACCATTCACATTATATCAGCAATTTCACTTCAT